TTGTTTTGTTTTGTTTTTGTTGTTTGTCATATTTATACACACCTTGGTAACTGGGCAAACTGTATAGCCTTTTCCATGTCTCAACTCACATTGTTTGTTTGCATCGTAAAAGTGACCGGAAGGGATGACAGGAAGAGTAATGTTAGATGGTGGTTTGTTGTCGTAACACTTGACACGTCTAAATCAACCACAATGCATCAGTACTGTATTCCACTATTGACGAAGGTGAAATCATCTTACTTAAAAGTGTTGATGAGTTTTTTATTACTGCAACTTGACCATCGAAAGGCGTTTGGTCCACTCGCTTGACCAGCGTTCATAATATAACCTTTCGCACATCCTTCGGAAGAGTCATGGTTCAGTCCAAAGCTGAAGTTCAAAAGTTTATTAAAAATGAATTRCATTTATTAATAATTGTAATAGGAACTTTTAGATACTTACTTGTGACCCATCTCGTGTGCGACGGAGAAAGCAGCGTCAAGTCCTGTTGCTCTATTGACAGTATAACCCAGAGTAARACTGCATGGATAACCAGAATATGCAACACCTTGAAAAACAATTACCATCATCCATCATTAAAAATTATACGATAATATTGGATCATTGAAATGATTAATGAACTTACCGTCCAGATCGCAACTCTTTGTACCACATATAGACCTGTATAATCAAAGTAATAATTACAACAAAGACCGACAAAGAATGATGATGATGATCATCTTACCTGGACAATAGTACTCCGTTATCCCAATGACCAACTTCACCGTTTGCTGTATTGTTGGTTCGTGCCCAGGAAGAGAATACAGCCATATATTTAACAGCCGAATCGATTTTCGCTTTCTTGAAATCTAGCGCTTCCTGAAAATCACATGTCAATTAAAATGCATAACAATTCAAGATCAGTAGAAACATAGTATTATCATAACAGGGCTGTAGCAATCGGAAATGTTATTCCAGGTTCAACCGGTCCGATATTTACCGCAACAACCATCTCTTCCTCGTAGAAACACATAAAACAGTTAGTGTTCTTCCAGCAAACCGGGAAAACTTTCACATACTGAGCCATGTTAAAGCTTGTAGCTACAGCTAATTATTATAATAAGCATTCTCGGTATCACCACCATCATCAGTATTATTGTATGTTTCACTATACCTCATATTTCTCAACGAGTATAATTTTGGTGACAGTCCACGTGATGTCAATGGTTAAAGACTTGTCGTTGTACAATCGATTTACCTACAAAAATAACAAGTCCACTTCCATCCTGTAATAATGTGTATGCAGGGAGGTGTTAGAGGTCCCGATGATTCCCCTTTTAGAGAGTACTGATTGATTACATATGAAATACATATCCATATCACTGGAAAACATCGCGCGCTTAAAAGGTTGTAAATTTGATGTAAATATGACCTAAGTGTCCAAAATTCTGTAAATGCGATGTAAATGATTTCCATTAAATTTACAGAATTTTGGACACTTACATCATATTAACATCAAATTTACAACCTTTAAAGCGCGCAATTTTTTCTGCATAATTCAAACAGAGGCAGAATCTATGCCCCCTYCCCCTCCTCAGTCCTCCCACTCAAAATGTCTGGATCCGCCCCCCTGGTATGTGCAGTGTAATGCTTCTAGCACGYCATAATGTTCATCATATTTACCAGGTTTGCTACAGCAAGAACAAAGTCCATTGAATTTTTACCATAGTARTCACATGACACTTTGTCCAGTGTTAACATTGCTTCAATGTAGTACTTTGGTGGGCCCCCTGTGTCTCTTCGTGTCCTTATTTGGTGATCTTCTTGTGCGTTGATGCTCTCTCCGAGAAAAACTGATGATAAAAGAATCGTTTGTTCTCAGTCTTTGCCGGTCAAATGTTGAAAAAGGAATCACAAATGTATATATTAAAACGACAATAAAAAGCATCAGTGATCTTATATTTTTATTTATTTTTTATTTTTTTTGCAATTAACTGTTTACTTTCTTTGGATAACAAACTTCACCTTTTACTGGATCCTGTCGATAAAAGTTGTTTTGCAGACTACGCTTAGTAATCACGTGATAAGCTTGCGTTTCTAGCCCCATCTTGTCAGCCACGTGATCAGGAATGGGCCGCACTTCGAACATGTGACCGTCCGTAAGAATTCCACCTAACTGTGAAAATGGCAAGATTTAAGTTTATTAAATGCTAGCTGTGATAGTTCATGATAAAATAAATGTTTGATTGACACTCACCAGTCGTCCATCATCCATCATTTCACGAACTGCAACATGGGAGTTTGGATGCGAAGTCACATGACCTTGATAAAATACACCATCAGGTGTGTACAGCTCCTTTGACCAGCTTTGTGAAGACGTCTTCCTGACAACTTCAAGTTCGGGGGATATTACGTCATAGTTTGGTTTCAGTTCAAGATTGAAATCTTTGTTGAATGCTGATAGTCTGTAGTGCTTAGTCCCTGAAATATCTCGACGGCTTCTGTCATGATGGACTGGTACTACATTGTATTCAGGAACTATAGAAAAAGTTCATAAGATATGCATCAAAGTACACTGTTTAGGATTTGAATAATTATTGTTATGAAGTCGTCAGCTTCTTATATCACGTGAAAACGACCTCTATAATGGGAAAAATAAACTTTGAACCCGTTTCCATTTCCAACTTAAATATATCATTTGTTAATGTACTCAAATTACTCAATTAGACCACCAACAATTTGTAACATGTGTAGTTTACTCACATAATGAAGTCTGCACAAATAGTCAGCATGGATTCACAGAAATAAAATCAAMGAACAACTGGCTTCCTGCCACTACTTCATGTCATCATGATAAGCAATGCAGAAACACTCCAATAGATTAATTTCATAAAAAAGGTTTATTAATATCGTACAATTTATAGAGATAGTGAAACATCGAATCCGACTTATGAATTATGATAGCTACAGAATCGCTCAAATGTAACGATATATTATGATATCTCAAGTGATATAYATTTGTACCAATTTATTTGCAACATTTACCTGAGTCAATGGAATCGACTCCAAATAGGYTTAACAGGTCATCTCGATTTGATRKGACAATATTATGCAAGTTATCGGTGTCTTTGTCCAGACGAACCTGAAGGTAAACACGCATAGGCATATGTCTACGTTCCATTTACATAACATATACTATTAGTCCATGTGTGCGATTATTTGATGGATGAACTGATCAACATCTTGGCAACGGGAATTATAGAAATAATGCAAGAAATATACTGGAATATACCATAACAACATGAACAAATCCATCGGTATTTGCTTTGGGAAAGAAATCACTGTATTTATGCTCGAGACTATGCCCACATGTGTACGGTGACAATGGAAATTACAATGAAATTAATTTTTTTCTAGACCTAAACATTTTCAAACTATGCCACACGCATTTCAAAAACGAACAACTCCATCATGAACTGGTGCATCTATTACTTTTATTTTGCAGTTCTGAGCAAGCAAGCGCATCATCTGTGCTCTAAGCGTGAGATTTATTTTTGATAGTTTTTTAGCTTATCACTCTTGAGCTAACAACTTGGACCAGACGCAGAAGAACTTATCTTTCATCGCTTCTACCATTAGAGAAACACGCRCTATTTCGTACATCACGAGAAAAAGCCTTGTTAGGATTAAAAATTGYCATCGTAATATCGGCAATATGTGTATTCATACAGTGGTATCTCTCTCTCTTGTATAATCAATTCTGCTTGCTCAAAGCGCAGAGTGAGTTTCAAACGGTATCGAGCAGTGTAAAAAGAAGTCKACTTACCGGTCGATAAAACACAAGTTGACAGTACCATAACAGCAAAGCGAAGTCTTTGGCCATTCCTAGCAGCAMTAATGGTCCAGTGACARCTCTTTGTGCCTTTATTATGGAAGGGAGAATATGTATTGTRKCAGTGAAACGCTTGACTGCTGGTATTAACASTCGACCTCGTCTATATGGCAAGCATGGTGTTTATTCCTTTGGCGGCTTCCAGGTGGCTTAGAGAGAAAATAGAATAAATTACTCAATTCAAATTCTTGACGATTTGAATTGACTCTCAAATAAATGAAAGTTAATATTTCTAAGCTGGGGATAACTCATCTAGCATTATATGGGTTGTGACCTTTTGAAGACAAAATGTATATATGTTCCCTGTTGTTACACGTGCTGTCAGTCGCTATCGAGTATCCCTTGATGGTTTTTTCTTTTTTGATTGTGTTTTATCGTTCTCTTCCCATCAGCTTCTGTCAAACAGTCATTTCCTATGAACATTATTCCCTAATTGAAAAGAAATGAAATTTGGTTTATGCACGCATGACTTCTGAATGAAACTATTGTTTAGCCACAAAATGACTAGAGATCATTTTTTTTTATTTATGTTTTTGTATTTTGAAGTCATCATTTGATAGCATCATTCATTTTCATATTCTGAGTTAGAAAATTARACTGGCAATAAACCATCATAATTTCACTATCTGATAATGCATTCTTACTGTTTTAAGCAATAATGTTGTTGCAGAGCATCGCCTGATTTGGAGTTGGCTATATCACAATAATGACTAAGGACAAATAGCGGCTTGTTCTTATGTTTTTAAGGATATCAGCATTCTAGTACATGAAGGAATGATATGATGGCAATCAATGACGTCTTTATGAAAATCATGCAGGGACCTTGAAATCAGTTTCGATTCTATTGTGAGTGACAAGCAATGCTTTATATGAGTGCAATATCAAYCAGTACCAGTAAATGCAAGACCAATGACTTTGTTTCTGGATGAACACATTTTTAGGCTTCATTTGTGGGAGGATATGATGTCTAAAGTGCTGAAAATGTCCTTAGGGTCGATATTGCGGGCATAAGCATTATTCAATGTTAGGCCTCAGACGATTTATTCATTTACTTGTGAATGTGTATTATTTCAGCTGTAAAATACTTGTAAAACTGGAACACTGTGAAAACAAATGATTTGTTATTATTAGTAAATGTTTATTGCTTGCACTTGAACAACGTTATTTTCCACTAAAACTCGTCGAGTCATCCATTTCTTTTTAGATCTACGTGATTGTCTGTTTCAACTATCGTTATTTTTATATCCATCGTCTGGGCATCGTCTTCGACTTTCGATATCTTTAGATCGGTCGTGATTGTCTTGAGACTGAAACATGGCCGATATGATTATCCAGATATTACTTGAAACTAAATAAAACTATATTTCATAAATGTATACATGTACTCTTTTCTTTTATAGCACTTGGTGCCTGGTAGATATGGACGTGCGATCATTGTCACCAAAGACAGAATCGAAAGTTCATSGTTAAAAATTCTAAGTATATTTACACGGAATCTGAAAAGTGTAAATGCACCCTTCGATATGTACATATATGCATCTACAATAGACACCCGCGTTCTAACTAGTGTTATTAGTCGATTATTCGAAAGGAAAATAACCGAATAATCTCACTATTATTGGCCTAAAGACAGCTTTTATACATTTATACATGGTAAGAAGGCATTTACATATAGTAGTCAGTCGTGTATGTACTGGTCCGATTGGTCAGTRTGCTTATAAATAACGGAAGATGAGAAATAACATCTCATCTCGATTGCATTATCACTTGTGTAATCACTAAATAATTTTCAAAAACAAAGAAAACATAATTATCAACGATGTAGGCCTCGCACTATTTGGATATTGATAAGTAATTTCAARTTTTTAGAATAATTTTATGTATTCTTTCATTTTCCTTCGCAAATCACTGAGCTATTCAYATTTTAGCTTGTGCTGGATCTCAATTCTCATACGAATGATCTGTTGRTATTGTATTTTCTTGTACGAGTTACAATGACCACAATACTTTGCGCGGTGTGATGTGATGTTTTTTGTGAAGCCAGTGATGATCACATGAACCATATCAATGCCATGAACACTACCACTGGTAGGTGAATTGTTTTAATCTGACACGCCCCGTGAGATCTGTCTGGGGAATATCATCCTTGACTCTACCAAGTTGGGGATTTTCACGATTTCACGACTAATCATTCAGTATTTTTAGATTAGATTAGCTTCATTCATCCTCTTTGACAGCCAAATAAAATGTTTTTTATTGTTTATCAACTGACGATCCAAACACTGTGTTTAAAGCCAGCTAGCATTGAAACCTTTGTCGTTTGCAGGCTAATTGGGTTAGGAAACGCGGAATGTTATGATTAGTGTCAAGATAATTGCAAGGTTCGCCCCCAAAACCCGTTTTCCCATTGTTTCCCATTTGTTTTCACATTTTTGTTAGGGGAATTAGAACAATGTCAAATTGTGTATGCGTTTGGGACATTACACTAGACCTTTAGAGGGCAGGTCGTCACAGTTGAGCTGTCACTGTGTCTTCGATTATTAACCACAACCAATCAAACACGATGTCTTGTCATTTGTGGGCGGATTATCGACGGAAAAAAATAGATATAGTTCATGATATGAGGTAATGTGGCATAAAAAAAGAAACTCAAATTGTCTAAATCATTTTTCGAGTCGTTTTTTAGTTGTCACACGTATCGGAAAAGGTAGCCGCAGGCCCAATACTCTTGGTTAACACAGGCGTTTTGAAATTGGGTGACTAAGTAAGTATAAACACTTGTTTTGCCAATTGACTGGAAAAATCAATCATTGATTGACACCTTTATGAACCCTCAAGAGTAATTTCGTTATTGAATTAGTTAAAAAAACTTTACAAAGGGACCGCTCATGAACGATCTGCGAGGAACTTGTTCTATCCTCTGACAGACACAGAAGTGATTATCCAATGAAGAATTGTCCCTAACATCAATATAAAATTACACTACTGGCATGTTTACCAGCGCCCTCATCTAAGACAACCGATATTTTTACTTGCAATTTCGATACTTTTTTTTTTCTCCAGAGATGAAGTCATTTTTCCATCGATTATCACTTGGATTGTTATTTCTACAATATTTTGGTAAGACATACATGTTTCCTGGAATCTTCCTATGTACACAAACAATTGTTAAATGTTATCATAATTGTCGTGCATTCTTGTGGGTTGTCAGTAAAGTTTTAAAATCAAACATTTCGGTTAAAACCGTTGCAAAAATGCAAAAAAGTTGCCWRTGGAATGTRCGGCTTTTTAAGCGACGAACCTCCGTTCAACTGTCTCAATTTCTTGGATTCATAAAGCTTTTTCCAAGGCCTTTACATGTCATTATCAAGTTCTTAATATATAYAATCAAACATTTTAGCTGCAACTGTTGCAAAACAAGTGACCTATGGAAAGTACGGCACTTTCAGCGACGGCGCCCCCTTCGACAGCAAAGTCATTATAGTGAAAAGGCCTTTACCTGACCCTCCAGAACGAATGGAAACAACATTTTTTCTATATACGAGGGAAGACCGTATCGGGTATAAAACCCTTGATGACAGTGATCTTAACAAACTGAAGGAATCCAATTACGATGGTTCAAGGAAGACTATTTTGATTGCACATGGCTGGACAGGTATGGAAACTAAATCGTTGACAAAATAGTATTGAAGGCGCATTAACAATAAATACATTATCAATTGTGAAAGGAAAGCCACTGGAATCAGTCTGGGTTAAAGACATGAAAGAYGCTTTGTTAGAAAAAGAAAATGTAAATGTCATTGTTGTCGGATGGAAAGAAGGAGCCGACGACCTTTACTACCCACAAGCCGTCGGCAACACTCGTTTAGTTGGAGCCATGGTAAGAAATTCATGCAGAATTAGACTGTAGTGACGTGACTTGAGTGTCTGTAGGAATGGTAAAGATCGCTTATTAAAACCTAGTTAAACAATTAATTTTGAGCATGATCTTATGGAGTTTACATAAGGGTGAAGGCTAGTCGAAATAGGGAAAACTTACGTGTCCAATGCACATGAAAGTGTCAGAAAGAACTGGCTTATGACATTTACTTAAAGTTTCGGTTTGATSATGTAAYAACTTCTATTGTTACCTCAACAGGTTGCGGAGTTTATCAAGTTTCTCATCACACAAAAACACACTAAAACTAGTGCAGACATGTTCCACATGATCGGGTTCAGTTTGGGWGGGCAAGTCGCTGGGTATGCTGGGAAAAGGTTTCATGAGATAACAGGCTCCAAGATCGCTCGTATTACAGGTATGAAACATGTGATTAAGAAGTGTTTATGGACACTTAGTAGTTGTAACTGACTTGACAGATGAGGATTTAGTTTAGTAAAGTTTAAGGTTCGTGTCGCCACTCGTAACAGCGAGTTCATGCAACGTAAGGTGTTTTGTTCGATTCGAATGCGCAATGTCTGTCGWAGGTTTTGATAAGTCAGTGTTAGAGAGTGGTATTATACATGTAAACCTGTAATCAAGCATTGTTTATGGACACTTAGTTGTTAGCTCTGACTTGACATATGAGTTTTTCGTTAAGATGGGAACAAAGTCTAAGGTTTGTGTCCGCGCCACTCGTMACAGCGAGTTTATGCCACGCAAGGTATTTTGTTGGTCCAGACACGAAAGCACAATCGTAGGTTTTGATAAGACGGTGGTAGGGATACTGTGTACTAAATGAAGATGGGAAAGTCTAGAAAAAGTTATCATCATAAGGCGTTTTGTTTCGTTAATTGCAAAGCATTGTTTTGTATCTCAATGCAATCAAGCCTCTTATAGGTTATCAATTACTCTGTGTAAGGAGTGCATGAAAAGGTAACGCAAACAATACAAGAACCCCAGAAACCTTGTAAACCAAGCCTGACCAAGATAAAAACTGACAAAGAAACTAATGGGTTTAGTTGGTAACTTACAGCTAGAAACAGAAATCCTCTAGATGTCTCTCCATCCGYCATGAAGAAGAAGGACAAACAACAAGAAGCTGGCAAAAGTATTTCAGAACTTGCGACGGCTGCAAAAATGAAATGTTTTGTCATTGCAAATTTCTTGTTCTTAAGGTTCTTACGTTAAGGAGAGCCAGGATAATATATTAGACCTATTGACCAAACATAAATAGAAAAAAATAATATTTGTATTCCCAAAATCGTATAAAATTATGAAAACATGTATTTAGTTTTATAAAATTTCCGATATATAACGCGCTCTCTGATTGGCTGACGACCGTGTTTATATCAGAGGACAGAGACACGGCGTACCGGCAAAATTTTCTTTTCGCTCGAAACATTTTATAAAAGAAATATAAAACGGCCGCTTGTGTCTCTGTCCTTTGATATAAACACGGTGGGAGTTGAAAAACACTCGATAAGCAAGAGAAACACTYGMTACGCTCGTGTTCCTAAGCTTRCTTCTCTCGTGTTTTTCGAACTCCYACCGTGTTTATATCAGAGGACAGAGACACGCGCGCCGTTTTATATTTCTTAAATATAGTACCTTATCCGGAGCAAGAAATCTCAGTATAACTGTTTATCCACCAAAGACAAAATTTCTTAGCTGTAACCATTTTAAAAGGTGTTAATGTACACTATTAATGTTACTTGTACCCGTTACACGCGTTCCTTAATTGGCAAGTCAYAACCAATGATCTTTTGGCTGTAACACATAATTTCATGGTATTAAAACTGAAGAACATTGAGTCTATTATGCATTATTTACCAGTGATAAAGGAATAATAATGAGCACGACGGTTTCGTCAAAGAGGCTTTTAATAATCGAGACCAACTATGGCATCTAGCTCAAAAGAGCTTTAGAATTACATTCGTACTTCCTTCAAGTCACTGCAAAAAGCCAACTTCCGGGCGGGTCACGTCKAATAGAAACGTCGAAATTTACTTACGGTTGATGGCACAAACTGGATTCCTATTCTTTTTGCCGGTTACTTCTTCCTTTTCTCTTTACCCTCATCGTTAAGTCCATCTTCACACATGCTTCGCTGTCAAACATGCTTTAATAAGARGTTTTTCGATAATCCACCGAATCGTGATAAAAGACTAAAAGGACAGTCATAGCTTCCACAAACTTCATTCGTGATTGACTCTTTCATCTTTAATAAACTGAAAAGCTCTGTTTTAAATACCCTTTAAAGATTTTTCTGTTCTTTGAGGATTTTTTTGCCTGCTCTTTAAGAAATTGCAGTTTACTAATTTTAGATTTTCTGATTTCAATCAGAAACTCAGAGTTTTGACATGAACTGGTTACACGAGACATTTATATCACATGCAGTTATTCCAATAACCTGTTTCAAGTTAGTTATCTTGTACTTGTTGTTTRTAGGACTAGATCCAGCCTCCCCAGGGTAYAAAGGCACTCACATTGACGTAAGACTGGACGCTACTGACGCCGAGTTCGTCGACGTCATCCATAGCGACTCTCCCAGAATAGGCACCCCTGATAAGAGTGGAAAGTTGGACTTTTGGCCTAATGGCGGTGGATCACAACCTGGATGTCTGATAAAAAGTAGGTGAACATTGCATCTTTAAAATATTGAATTTAGCCGGTTCGATTGATTGGGGAGGATGAATCARAATTATTATAGCCCTTACARCTAATATTATAGAATCAATAAGCCTAACATCGAACTTTGTTATTCGACTTAGTTTGCTTGAAAGCTTACTCGACTGCAGTTCTGACTTTGCTTTTTACATAGAAAGAGGATTGATCGATAAAATTACCAAATTGGTGGGGTGCGAACATTACCGAGCTCACCAGTATTTCATCGAGTCCATCAAATCTACCGAGTGCTTATTTCGTTCGTATCCCTGYGCATCATGGAATGAGTTCAGACGTGGCAAGTGCATGGAATGTGGAGCTAATGGAAAGAACTGTCCAGAAATGGGCTTTAACGCCATTAAGTACAAGGATGTAAAGAATGGAAACTTTTATCTTTACACAAGTGATAAACCTCCATATTGCGGTAAGAGATAAAACGATTAACAAAACAAGCCCTAAACAATCATCAAAACTAAACCAATCAACAAAGTTAATCAACTGACCATTAACTCAATGTCAAACAAACACGTATGAATCGGCTTCCAAAAAACAACACCGTTGTTCTTATTTCTTCACAGTACCTCGTTACATGTACGTAAGATTCCAAACTGGAACACGTTCAGGCTGGGGTATGTTTGAAGTAAAAGGCGACGACCCCAAAATTCGTGTCAATGGAGCTAAAGGTACCACGGGAGAAATTGAGTTTGATGGGTAAGAAGGCCAACGCATTGTGAGTACACAATTGCTCGAGTGAAATATAAAAAATAATCACCGTCGAATATATTTTATTCTATGGAGATAAACCAATATATGTTCTGATCGCCAATAAAGCAAAAATATTTAGTATTGTCGAATAGATGAAGCTATGGTATATCAGTACATTTAATATGATACGTTACCGTAAAAGTTTCAGTGAGAGTTGATTATTCAAATTCACAGACATCTTGACGAAGGCAGTACTGAGCAGTTCATCGCTCCAATCAAGAGTGATCTGGGTGAACTACAAACCATTGAAATTAAAGATGGCAAGTTGTTAGCACTTATTGATCCCTGGAAAGTAGTCAAGGTTACCGTTCAGTATGTTGGAAGTAAACAGAGGTTAGTACTTCTAGGCACACAGCTTAAAGACTTCTCGCTAATCATCCCCCTGTCATGCTATATTTGTCGAGTCATACTTTGCTGCCTTCTCCTCGCAGCCTCCGCCCTCTCGAGTGATCTTCGACTTCAGATCACAATGTTGTGATCTTAGAATAACTTGTGTGTATTTTCACAGCTACTATGCCTGCTACAATACGAACGTTAATCGCTCATTCAAGAAGAAACCATTGAGTATTGGCAACGACCAATGTGCACAAAAGGACCTGACCAGACCTTTCCTGGATAGACCTTGTCCTAGTGGATCGAAATGTCCTGGGCAGACAGTGATCTTAAAACTAGAAATAGAGCCGAGTAAATAAGATATCACTAAGATGGAGAGTTTAATGAAATGAAACAAATATAAATCTTGCTTCAAGCCTCGAGTTGTTTTGTAGTTTTATYATTAGATTATTTATTCTCTTATATTAATATAGGTCAATTCTATAGTATCCCCCGCACTTAACAAAGCATGGCGAAAATAGCTTATATGCCAACTAATATCAACGGTACTTAAAGCAGTAGGAAATGCTATATCAAGGAAAATACTATAACAAGGAATCAAAGAAATTGAACACAAATTTTATA